ACCATCTTCAGTATGGACGCCACTGACCAATCTGGCCGTTCCTTCAACGGGTCGAGACTCAGGACGACGCCACACCGCGAGCTCACCATCTTTTAATGGACGACCTGGCCAAGCCGCGGAGGCTCGAACTTCGAGCCTTCGAGCCTCGAAGGCAGTCCTGAACGTGGGCTTGAAGAGTGGAGACTCGAGCCGCGCCCACCGAGCTCTTGAGAACTTCCCTATGGGCCTCCGGTACCTCAGCCGATGTAGCTAATTTGACAGTGATGGGTTCGACCAGTGGTGTAGTGGCTAGTAGAACACATTCACTAGCCCAGATCTCGCACTCCACTCGTCCCCTGTCCACTTCTTCACTTGAACAGCTTGATATCCTTCATGTCGAGTTTTCCTCGTGGGCCCACTAGTTTGTAAGCTTCTGGGCTGACTCGTCCATCAATCACTACATCCAGCCAGCGATCTGAGAGTTCATTCGACGGTTCGGGTTTTTCGTAAAACACACAATTATCAGGTTCCAGTGTCTGGACCCGAGGAATGGCGTCGAGGACTGTCCTCGGCGCCATTCCTCTTTATTCTGTTGACAAATTAATTCCCATTCATCACGCGACTCCACCGGACGGTAGGGTCCACAATTTGGTGAGAACCTGAATACCTTCTCGTGTGCACACGCCATGATAGGAGGTTGTATTGTACTTTGCTACTCCTTGCTTGACCAGTCTAGTGAATTCAGGCCAACCAATTCCATCGTGAGATGCATGAGCACTCGTTGCGCGTTCTATGGAATCTTTCCACTTTTCCATTCCTGAGCGAACTATTCTTCGCAGTCGTGTAATGTAAAATGCCATGTTTTAGCAAATACGCTTCAACTCGTTTCGAAACCAAATTCGCACCAGCGCCAGACCAAACAACCAAAGGGACTGTATGAAAGGTCTCAAAGATGTGGCTCAAGAGAACCGCTATGTCCGCACTCACGAGCGCCGACTCCGTGGCTTTGATCAGGGCATGTCCGGTAGCACTATCTACTCATGTGACAATGAAAAACAATTTTTTTAAGAAATTGTTTTTCTTACCAGAAACAATCCTACAATTTCCAACTATACCAATATGGACTTCATTGAAAGGGATGGGGGATTTACGTATCGATCGTTTTTCAATGTCATCACGTTTGCTTTCCTTTCCCGTTTCCGGATTTAATCCATCCGTGTTCTGGTTGCGATGTACCTTTGCACGTTTACATATGTCACACTAGGCAGCAACCTCTCGGAATATTGCTCGGAAACCTGGGTCTGATTCTATCCATTTGCGGAGCCTTTGGTATACAGCCTCTGCATCCTCGTCGCTGTGATTATCTTCGACAAATTGTTTCACATGACCAGGTGGGATAATCAGTGCCAGTGCTAATCAATGATCAGCACTATTTAGGATGATCGCTCGTGGGCAGTGTTCTGTTCTGAGGCCCGTTGTGCGGGCCACCTAGTTGTACTTGCGTGCGACCCTGATGGGCACGCGTGCTTTTGCTCGGGCCGAGCTATGGCCATCCCTATTTAATAGGGCCTATTATTAGATAAATAGATAGATCCGATTACTAAGCTATTCAAGTTAGTCTTTCCTTGAGACTTTAATGGCAATGAGTTCAGTCCGTGGCGGCATAACCTCAACATCTGGCTCCGATGCGGGGACTCTGCCGTCATTGCGGACTGCCTTTATCTGCACGAGCGAGGAGGTGGTAGCGGCCCTCACTATCAGGCCGCTACCAGACAGCCTGGACGAGGCATTGTTCACGCTCTTGGAGCAGGCATTCCGGGAAGGTCAAGACCCTGATCCTGAACGCTTTGTCCGAGAGTTGGCCGACGCCTTATTCACCCATCCTTTGGAAGGGATTGACGGTCTCGCCGAGCTACGCGATCATGTCGAAGATATCGATGGTGAGGGTCTCAGAACATATGTTGCTCAATGGATCTACAGTCTGGGTGCTGGTCACGGAAAAAGGCTCCTCGACCAGGACGCTGTGGCGATCATCGAGAATTATATCCCCCCTATGGTGTCTAGTGTCGTCCTACAGAATGCATTCATGAAGGGACTCCCTAGCGCTCCGAGACTCACCAAAGATTACCGTTGGGAGCAGCTATCAGCGAAGAGGGAGCTCAAATCGTTGTGTCAAAGTCCCTTTTCAAAGGGTTGGTGGAATCGGTCACTCCAAGGTCACCAAGCTGCCTCCGTCTTCCGCAGCCCCGTCTCTGAAATCAGTCAGGCTACTCCAAGGCGCGAAGTGAGAATGTCTGAAGGAAATGGATCGCCTACAAAAACGTCGGTCGAGACTAGTGACCCTCCGGACTTGGTCAGCCAACAACGACGTCACACCGCTGCCAAGAACGCGGATAAGGCGGCAACAGCATTTGACGGTGGTTCATTCAAGGGTGTCGCTGATAAGAGGGGATTCTCCGGCTTCTGGCGGCAGCTCGAGGGCAAGCTTCTTCGACGAGGGTAGGACCACGGGAGCCCCGAGCATTTCTACATGCTCACCAGTCTTCTCCCAGAGCATATCGTCAGTAAAACGGTGGGAAGAACCGTCCCAAAAACACTGTCGGCCTTCCAAGCTACCGTTGAAGACCTCCGTACGGCCCTTTCACGTGAATATGGTGGTTTCATCGAGGTGGAGAAACTCCTCACTGAGACACTTACTCGAGGGGCCAATGAGAGCCTCACTGACTTCATCGCTCGCATTGACAACTGGAAAGATCGTTGCTCGACAGCTGGGTCGCCAGTGCCAGACGCCACTCTCATCCAAGTCTATCGGTCGGGAGTGTCCCACGGCCCTTCGAGGGAGGCCAGTTATGAGTACCCTTGTCGTTGGACGGACTTCCGACTCCGTGCGCTGACAAGAGCGGCAAGGGTCGATGGCGAGAAGTGTCAGAAGCCCGACACTTCATCTCAGGAGCAAGCTAAATCCAAGACTGCCCCAACGCCTTCCTCTAGTCAAAGGCCACCCAACGACAAAAAAGGAGAAGTCTGCCGAAATAATCTCCGAGGGCGATGTCTGAAGGGTGACAAGTGCCCTTATAAGCACATTGACCGTGAATCATGTCGAATGTGGGAAGAGAAGGGGCAATGTCGGTTCGGCGAGTCCTGTAAGTTCAAGCACAGCAAGCCTTCACCGCGAGCGGGGGCCAGCACCGGCGAGAAGCCATCTGCTGGCGGGCGTCAGCGTGATCAGTTGAAGGCCATTTCCAACGATGGGGACTCGGGTCAGCACGACGTCGACATCGCAGAGGAAGAGATCCAGCGAATCTGGGCCATGACCGAGCACGTCGAGGACATTGGGTCCAATCATCGGCCGAGCGGTCCACTCCTCACTTTACGGTTCCCCGACGACTCTCCTCCACTACGTGTGCTTCTAGACAGTGGCGCCGTGCGGAACTACATCACCGTAGAGGAGGTGGAGTCTCGGCCCGAGACTCTCGGGGGTGGCATATACTTCCCGAAGTGGCGATGGCTCGGCTCGCCGACAACAGCAAAATCCAACTTCGAGGGAAAACTCAAGTGGTGGTGTCTATTGGTGGTGGTACGCTCGAGATTACCTTCTATATTCTTCCTCGGAGGAACGGTGGTTCTTCGACTTCCATCGGCATCTTAGGGGTTCGCTCGATGTGCGACCTGGGTGTCTCCTTACAGTTTGGCGAAGTGGCAGGAGAGCGGCAGGTCGTCGTTAAACAGGTTTCACGAGGTCAACCTTCATCAACTACGAGAGACGAGAGCCTCTCCTCCGGCAAAGCCACCACTCCTACCACTACTCCTAACACAACTCCTACCAACGACTGTGATTTTCCGGACAGCCGACAGGTACGGGTTCTCGGCGAGTCCTTGACGGTTACTTTCAGTTGCGATGACGACGAGGAGGCCCTCTATTGCGTTGCCACTGACGACTCATCAGCATTCCCCTCTGACGCGGACGGTGGTGATTGGTCAACCACCAGCTCATCTGGGGAGAAAAATCATCTCGGTCCCAACTGGCGGTCAGTCAGAGCGGCACCTGACTACTCGGTAAGGCTCCGCCGTTTGGAAGACGGTGAGGCACGAGACTGTGAGGAACAGACCCACGCAGTGGAGGTGACGTGGGCCCTTGCAC